GCCCCGGACGCCAGGAGAGGCACAGAGGGTCCTCCTACCGGGGCCTCGCAGAGGAACCACCCTGCCAGATGTCAAGCTTTCCAACAACAGAATGACGAGAAACTTCTGCTATTTGCAGGCAACGAGCTGTGGAGCTCTGTTCTGGCAGGAAACTCACCCTCTCTGTGCCTCCAGTGTACAAGCGTCCCTGAGAACATCCTGCATGCTCGAGCACCGTGGCCGCGTCTGCAGGCAGCAGCCTCACCTGGGCTCACGCCGCGCCCTCACCCGAGCACCTGCTCTCTCCTTGCCACCTGCCAACCCAGCAGCCTGCTTCCCCCAACCTCCTTCATCATTTTCCAACCCAGGCCGGCAGGCAGGGTCCTGGCCCTGCCACTTATTACCAGGACCCGCCCTCTGAGGCTTGGATGGTCAGGCACACTCAAGGTGGTTTGGGTGGTGTGGGGTTTTCCCTTGAAATGGATTTGATCAAGTCAATCACATCAAAGTGCTCTTAGGTGAAGAGACAAATAAAAGGTTTGGGTCAAAAGCAGGCGGGTCCAGCAGGCGGGTCCAGCAGGCGGGTCCAGCAGGCTCCCTCGGGCCTGATGGAGGAGGCTCCAGTGAGCGGTGGCATCAAGCCCTGGGGTTGGTGTAGTCTCTGGAGGGACCTCAGCACCGGAAATCATGCAGAGCAGTGTTTACAAAAAAAGACTGGAAACCTGGTGGGCGGCCTCTCTGACCAAGCCTGGGGGCTGACGGCAGGCAGGCCCGACTCATCCGCTTCCTCCGGGAAGCTGGTCCCTGCCTTCCTGGCTGTTTCCTCCAATCATCGACTTAAGCTCACAGAGGAAATGGAGTTCAGGGAAATGGAGTTAGAGGAAACGGAATTAGAGAAAATGGACTGAGTTAGGGGAAATGGAGCGAGAGGAAGTGGGGTCAGTTAGAGAAAATGGAGTTAGAGGTCTCGCCATGAAGAGGAACAAGTCCACCCTGGGCTCAGGAGCCCTGGCTTTTCCTGTGAAACGCCACTGACGGGGAGGCCACGGCACCACTTGGAACAGGCTGGTACCTGTGGCCACGTGACTGCCATTTCAACTGAACACTGTTTACACATTCTGCAGATTTAAGTGATTCATCCAAGCTCTCTTTCCAAGTAATTCTTGTTCCCCAGAAAGCAAATGCCTGACCACAGGTACCTAAGGCTTCTAAACAGCATAATGAAAGCACCTCCTAATCCTACCTGGGGGAGCTTCTAACGTCCGAAGGAGAGGTGGAGGCTGGGGACGTGGGGATAGCAGGGTGGGACAGGGCAAGGCAGGCTCCCCACCAAGGATCAGTGCCGGGCACCACAAAAACAGGAGGGTCAGTACCCGGGACGGGCCTGGAGAAGGTGTCTGCAGCAGCTGAGGAAGGGGCAGCCTGGCATGGTGCCTCCAGGGAGGGTGCTGGGGGCAGAGGGGTCCCCCAGGCAGAGCCGGGCTCCCATGGGCTCCAGAGGCTGCTCCATCTCCCACTCTCCTCCTGCCGCTCCTGAGAGCCCCCTGAAGCTGTTTTCTTGATGTCTCCGAGAAGCTGTGTCCACGGGCTACTTGTCCCAGACCCCTCTCCCCAGGTGAGCTCAGTATTCTAACATGGTGAGTGGGAATCAGCTTTGGGGTTTCAGTTTTCCCCAACGCTAAGTGGCTGCTTCCTAGGCCGTGGCTGGTGGAGCTAACAAGACTACAAACCTCTCAGGAAGAGGTGGGCACTGGCAGGCCCACCGAGGGGCCAGGGTGGCGGCTGTGGTGCCATGGTACTGATGGCACCGCGTGATGCTGAGGCTCTTCCTGCATCCGCTGCAGGTGGGGGAGGGGTTGTCCCAGGAGGTTGGGAACCCCCTGCGCCCTGTGACTGTCAGGTGTTGGTGGATGGGCAGGGGCACCCAGCCCACTGTCTTCCTGGGGACGGAGCACTTCCCATGCCCACACTCACAAGGATGCTCGTTCTCCCATCTAAAGTCAGAACATGGCCACAGGGCTAAGCACGCAGCTGGTGACTGCAGGACGGTCCATTGGCAATGGCTGCCACCCCTCAGCTGCTTCACGCTGGCTGGAACATCGCTGGGCATGGAGGAGCAGATGGGCTGGGGTGCCGTCTGAGTCCTTGCCACTGTGGACATCTGTTTTCTGATGGTCACACACAAGCAATCATTCTGACGAGGTCTGGAATTCTTGGCTGGAGAATTCATACAGAGCCTGGAGATGCTGCTCCTGAGTGGCCGAGAACCTGTGGCCACGAACCCGTGGCCACGCAGACTCTCCCGTGGCCTATAACCAAGGATCTTAGCACTTTGCCTGGCTACTCTCAGCTTTCCCCCTGCCCCAGGAGTTAGGACCTGCGTGTAGGGTATGTCGCAGCCGTGATCCGTCTTGAGGGCCTCCATCCCTGCTGCCCGAGCTTCGCAGCTTCAGGGGAGCTCTGCCAGCTGCTTCTCCCTTGTACTCTCCTGGTACCTCCCGATACATCCCCAAGTCCCAGGCGGCACCTCCATGCCCCTTCCTCACCTGCCACATCCCCAGGCCTTGCTGCAGGCCCCTCTGAAACATGGGGCTCCTCCGGCAGGTTTGCCCAGCTTGCTTTCTCTGCCACGCCCAGCTGCTAGGTGAGGTCTCTATGAATTCTTGGGGGGTCTCTGGGTGGCCCTTTGCTCACAATCAGTGCTCCCTCTCAGCTGTTTCTGCAATGCTGTGAGCCGGAAGGGTTTCACCCTCCACACGAAGCCCCATGCTCTGTACAGCCCCTCACGCCATGGCTCTCTCTCACCTGCTTGGAGAGTGGTGGGGGGCCAGGGCCAGTGTGGCCGCCATCCATTCCCATCAGGCAGGGCCCACCTCTTCTTGATTCTCTGGCTGCCTCAAACCTGTGGCTCTCGGGAGCTGCCGGGGGGTTCTGGGGGGCTGGAGGCTCAGGTAAAGATAGGAGTCTATGCTGTTCAAAGCCAGTGCACATGGGCTCATTTGTTACAGCAGCCAGTGGACACTTACGCAGTATGCCCACCAAGGCAGGTGGGAAGCTCGTGTGGCATGCACACCACGGGAAGTGACATGGCTGTGATGGGACTCAGGGGAGGGAGGCACATGGCACAGGGGATGCCAGACACACAGTTGGGAAGAAAGGGAGGAGAAGCTGTGACTGGTGTGACTGGTGTGAGCCGTGTCAGTGGTGTGAGCCATGTGAGTAGTGTGAGCATTTGAGCCATGTAAGTGATGTGAGCCTTGTAACTGGTGTGAGCTGTGTGAGTGGTGTGAGTGGCATGAGCCATGTAAGTGGTGTGAGCCAGGAGTGGTGAGTAGTGTGAGCTGTGTGAGTGGTGTGAGCGGTGTGAGCTGTGAGTGGTGTGAGCCGTGTGAGTGGTGTGAGTGGTGTGAGCTGTGTGAGCAGTGTGAGTGGTGTGAGCCATGTGAGCTGTGAGCTGTGTGAGCCATGTGAGTGGTATGGGCCGTGTGAGCGATGTGAGCCATGTGAGTGGTGTGAGCTGTGAGTGGTGTGAGCCGTGCAATTGGTGTGAGCCATGTGAGCGGTCTGAGCTGTGAGTGGTGTGAGCCACGGGAGTGGAATGAGTTGTGTGAGCGGTGTGGCACCCTTGATGCCAGAAGCAGGTTAAACAGATAAATTAAAAGAAATCAATGGAAATATGAACCAAACTCTTTTTGACAAGGGATATTTCTAGGGAGGAGGAGGAGGAGGCAGGAGAAAAGGACTGTGCTGGGGCCTCCAGGTGACGTGGGCAGCAGAAGCAGATGGGACGCTCAGGACACGGAGCCACCTGGGCCCTCAGCAAGCAAACAGCAAGGACTGAGGGTCCCCAGAGTGACCGCCGCTCGGGGCCGCCTTGCTGCACAGACTCATTCAGATCCTGACTTGGAGAAACAGTGAGAAGACACTCACAGGCTCTGGGAGACGCAAGCCTGGCGCGGTGTGACGGATCATAAGGACTGTTGCTTCAGGTGTGGAAGACAGCACGGTGGTGGCTATGAAGACAGTCCTCATCTTTAAAGATACACACTAAAATACTGACAGATCAAATGATGTGCTCTCTGGAATTCATTTCAGATGCCCAGGGCACGGCGGGAGGGGGGCGAAGGTTGTAGCTAAACAGGATGGGCGCTGCGTCGGTTCCTAGCGAGGCCAGACCCGGGTGCTTGCGGGGGTCATGGTGCTTCTCTCGATAGCATGTGAGTTGCACCTTCTAAAAGCTAGAAAAAGAAGACTTGAGGTAATACTTCCGTGGCCCAAAGCCCATGCGTGGACCTCAGTTAGGAGCACAGAAAGGACCCCTGGTCACTTCCCCAGGTGCCAGTGCCTATGGATGGCCTGGTCAGTGGAGGGACATGGCCAGTGCTGGCACTTGGGCTCTGGGCCCAAGGGGAGGCCCAACAGCCCCGGAAACGGCCAGCAGTGTCCCTGCAGTCCTGGATGCTGACTACCTGTCATGAGGCTCCCACATGGGGTGACCGCGTGGGGAGGCCAGGGACTCCTGGTTCAGAGGAGGAAGCTGAGGCTGGGTGGCAGGCGGCAGCCCCATGCACGGGCCACACAAACTGGGCAGCTATGTCTGCCACATGTGGGCCGAGCAGGGTGGCGAGGAAGCTTCCTTCTCACTTGTGGGTTTGCTGCAGGACAGACAGGGAGGTGGCCTGGGACGGGGAGCCTGTGTCATCATGTGGCCGCAGGTCAGTCTCAAACACAGGTTTAACCTTCCACGCCAGAAGCACGGCTCAGCCACCCTTGACACGGTCTCTGATACCATCCCCCACCCCGCAGCTCCGGCGGTGGCCAGAGATGGAAACTGAGAGGCGCATCTCCCACCTGGCAGGGCCCCTCCTTTCCTGGCCCATTCAGACATCTGCCCCCCAGCTTACAGGGCCCCCGTGTCAACCACAGTGTGCCCCTTGACCTGGTACCACCTAGAGCGCCTATGGACCCGCCCAACAAATGTGTTGGCCCCAGGGTCCCTGCACCCCTCCCTCTCTGCTTGTACCCCCGACCTCCTAGTGTGCCTGTGGGCACCAGGCCTGCCATGTACTCACCAAGGTCTGTAAGTACCGAAAGATCTCCAGCTTCCATGTTGTAATTGTATCACGGAAGCCCTGCCCCAATTCTGCCCTAACGCTTCGGCCAGCCCTCAGGGACCCATACGGACCCACACAGGGGGATGGATCCCTTGCTCCTTGGCCACAGCCTCCTGGCTGCTGAGATCGGAGCTGCCAGCTGGGTGGGCAGTTTCATTTTAAATGCCCACTCCTGCCCCTGGGCTCCCATCCCCTGAGCTGTGCTCCCTGGGCTCCTCTCCCCTGGGCTGTGCTCCTGCTCCCTGGACTGTGCTCCCTAGGCTGTGCTCCCTGGGCTGTGCTCCCTGGACTGTGCTCTCTGGGCTGTGTTCCCTGGGCTGTGCTCCCTGGACTGTGCTCTCTGGGCTGTGTTCCCTGGACTGTGTTCCCTGGGCTCACAGGCTGGGCCCACTTTGCCCTCCACTGGAGCTTATCCCTCCCAGGCCAGGTGACCTGACCGAGGCCAGCAGGGGCAACTCTCTGGCCTCAGCTTCCTTGCAGCTCCAAGGCAAAGGCAATGACTATGCACGTGCCTGTCGAGGGAGAAAAGGAGAAACTGGATATGAGAGCTCTCCCCTCCTGAATCAGTCATAAGGGGAAGAGCTATTTTAAGCACAAAGGTGCAGCCTGGGTGACCCAGAGAGATGGGCCCAGCAAATTCCCACTGCGTTCTGGCCCATTTCGGAGCATGTGGTAACCGCTCCTTCCTATGAGGACTCTGCACTGAGGCCCCCACGCAGAGCTCCTTTGATCCTTCAGTGGCAGCGGAGATGAATCCAAAGCATTGGGTGAGGCACAGAGGAACCTGAGCATGCGGGCATGGCTGGTCTCGGTCCGGCTTCACCCCCACTGCCCCTGAAGCCTGGAGCCAACCGGCCGTAGCGGAATCGGCTTCCCCACGGCAGGAAGAGTAGGATCCCTCCCCGACCTCTCAGGGGCCTCTAGCTGCTGTGTGCACAGGGCTCCTCCAGGTTCTCCAATCAGCGGCCATCTCCCTCCTAACTCTGGCCTGGGGGAGGGTGGTCTGCTCAATCCTCAGCATCTCTCTCTCCTTCAGAGCCACTGTGATCAGCCCCAGCACAGTCTGCAGCCCCCGAGACTCTCCAGCTTCCTAACCCTTCCCAGAGAAAAGGCCACCACTAAGCTGGGCCCCTGCTGGCCTCAGACAAAGTAGACGGGGCCTGGGGAGCTGCCACAGCCCTGGCGAGGGGCGTCCTCCCACCATCTGGCCAGGGCAAGAGGCAGCCTCCTTGGGACCAAGGCAGCTTCTACTGAGGTCTGTGGTGCAGCAGCTGCTCTCGGCGGCCCCCACAGGAGGCCAGACAGCAGGCCTGAGAGATCAGCACAATTTAGGAGAACACCCCCTGCTTTACAACGTAGGTTTTATTTTCACACAGGTGGGTTAGATCAGGAGACGCCTGCCACTGATGAGACCGTTAGTTACACTTCCCAAGAGGGGGAGGGGCATGCCACACCAGGGGCCACGCAGGGAAAGGCCAGTGTCTCGGAGGCAGACGACGTGAAGGGGAAACATGAGCAGAGCCAGGCAGTACCTTCCTCAGGAAAGGTGGGGAAAGCTGAGTGGGCAGGCTTGGCACTGGCCTGTGGGAATACAGGCCCGCCCTGACTGTCTGGGGTCAGGCCCCGAGGTGATTCGTGCAGGGGATGTGGCCTTGAGCCTGGAAATGCACAGAGGAGACGCTGGGGGTGGCCCCGGGTGGTGGGTTCACATTTGAAAGGCAACCAAAGGCAAGTGTTTCTGATCTCTAGGATGTGGCTGGAGCAGAAGGGGCAGTCTCCCCAGGGTCAGCAAGGCCCCGGCATTAAAGCGTTGGAAACACACAGTTCACACACATGCAGTGCACATGTGCACACAGAGGCATTCACACACACATGCATACCACATACACACATGCAACACACACACAGAGGCAGTCACACACATGCATACCACATACACACATGCATACCACATACACACATGCAACACACACAGGCATTCACACACATGCATACCACATACACACATGCAACACACAGGCAGTCACACACATGCATACCACATACACACATGCAACACACACAGGCATTCACACACATGCATATCACATACACACATGCAACACACACACAGGCAGTCACACACATGCATACCACATACAAACATGCAACACACACACAGAGGCAGTCACACACATGCATACCACATACACACATGCAACACACACAGAGAGGCACACACATGCATACCACATACAGGCAGTCACACACATGCATACCACATACGCACATGCAACACACACACAGGCATTCACACACACATGCATACCACACACACACATGCAACACACACACAAAGGCATTCACACACACATGCATACCAAATATACACATGCAACACACACAGAGGCATTCACACACACACACCACATACACACATGCAACACACAGGCAATCACACACACATGCATACCACATACACACATGCAACACACACACAGGCATTCACATACACAGCACATATACACATGCAACACACAGGCACACACACATACCACATACATGCAACACACAGAGGCACATGCACACACATACCACATACATGCAACAGACGCACACATGCATACCGCATATACACATGTAACATGCATGCATGCACATGTATACCACATACATGCAAAATACAGAGGCACACACATACATACCACATACATACATACAACATGCATACACGCACATGCATACCACATACAGGCAACATACAGAGGCACACATGCATACCACATACACATACAACACATACATACACACATGCACAGACATGCAGGCACATACATGCACTCATGTACACAGTGCACACGTACACACATACCACATACACATGCACACACGCAGGCACACACATGCACACATGTGCACACTGCACGCACACACCACACATGCACAGAGGCATGCACACGCACACAGACATGCAGGCACACATACACACACACAAGTAGTGCACACACACATACCACACACATACTACATGCATGCACACACACAGACATGCATGCATGCACACACCCACCACACACACCACATGCATGCGTACATGCCACATACATGCACACACAGGCATGCACACACGTACCACATACACAAATGCACACATACCACACACATACCACATATACACATGCACAGATACATGCCACGCACACACACACATGCATACCACACACAGAGGCACACACATGCACACACACCACATACATGCATGCATGCACAGCCATACATACCACACACACCCAGAGGCATGCACACACAAATACATAGCACATACACAATGCACACACAGGCACGCACACACACATACCACATGCACACATTCACACACAGACATGCAGGTGTACATACACTCGTACACACATGCAGTGCATGCACATACACATACATACCACATACACACACAAAGGCATGTACACACATCCACACAGACATGCAGGTGCACATGCATACACACATGAACACACTCGTACACACATGCAGTACACACACGCTCAGAGGCACACACATGCAGGCACACATACATGCACACATGTACACACACAGGCATGCACACATGCACACACACGGAGGAGAGGGCACGCGGGGTAGACACTTGGACAGGGACCAGGCTGTAGGCCCAGGGTGACTGTCCAGCCCCAACTGGGCCCCCAGCACTCCTGAAACCCTCACCCTGGGCCAGGCTTGGCATGTGGGCCAAGCACTCCCCATCAGAGGTCCAAGGTAGGAAGATCACCGTGTACTGAACCATCAACCCCCAAATCAGACGGTGTGAGCATGCAGCCCTGTGGCCAGCTCTGCAGCCTGCGCCCCTGAGAGCCACGGGCCTGGGCGCTCAGGGCGCTGGTGGGCATCCTCCAGACTGTGTGAGGGCTCCGGCCGAGAGCACTGTGTGGGGAAGAGCACTGTTCCCCACAGCCTGTCCCGGGCCCTGGCTCCAGCCAGCAGATTCCTTTGGTCCCCACAGAACAGGTCAGCTCAGCCCAGTAAACATCCTTCAGACCCAGCACCAGCATACGGGCCCGGTCAGGCAGGGGGAGCCCATCTCACACGCACAATCGCAGAATCACGGCGAAGTCAGCAAAACCCAAAGGTCCGTATGAAACCATCTTAGTCCCAGCTAACAGAATCCAGAAACGCCATTGCTCCAAAGTCCCCAAGGGCACCGCACACTCCATGCCAAAGGGGAGTTGCTCCATGCCAGGCACTTGGCCGCTGCAGAGGGCTTGTGCCACCCTGAGCGGGTGGCCGGGCAGTGGGCTGGCGAGGAGGCCAGAGTCTATGCTCTGGAAAGTGACAGGCCGCATCTGGGGAGAAACCCAGGCTCGGCCGCCTGCAGGAATCGCAGCAGCCCCTGCCCCAGGAGCCCGGCACCAGGCCAGCGCTGAGGGGCTTCTGAAGATGCTGCTGGACATCATCGCCTTTTAGTGGCCACCGCCGGCTCCCTTTCAGCCAGGCTCCCAGACACTAGGGGGCTGTCGTGTGAGGGGTCACCCACGGCACATAGACGCAGGGTCCTCAGATCTCAGGTCCAGGATCCAGGCCTGGGCATCTCGGGAGCAGGGTCTGGACAGTGAGGACAGGGAGGCATCAATCACCATGGCAACAAACATCACAGATAAGCAGCCCCCAGCACACCCAGCTTCCAATCAGTGTCAGCGTCCGCTGGCTGCAAATGTGACGAACAAACAGAGCCTCCTGCCAGGCTGAGATCACCCAGGGTGCCTTTGGGTGGAGCTGCCATCCTGGTGGCCTTTAGGGCATGGGACCCCCCAAGGAACCCCCCACAGGGCAGAACCTGGGCTACAGGCAGCGCTGACTCAAGCTACCCAGGGGGTGGCCTGGGACCCCTGCCTCTAAGCTGGCAATGGAGTTTCATCCAGAACCCCGATACCCTGGGATTCTTCTCAGCCAGTGCTGCTCTCTACCTGCAGCGAATCCCCCAGTAGAGGCGAGGAACCCCAGAACCAGCTCCTCCCAGCGTGGAATCTGAGGCCACAGGCTCAGCTGTGGTGTCATGTCCGCACCTGGCAGGGTGGTCCTGCAGCCGCCGCCCGGGTTTGCCATGGCGACTGCACATGGGCACATGGGCACACAGGGGGCCCAGGCGAGGCGGCATCCAGCGGCCACGTCCACAGGCCCTGACCAGGGGCACGCGGCTGGGAGCCCCGGCCAGGCAGCCCTTCTTCACTCACAAACGTCCTCTTCCTCTTCTGCCCCTCTCCTGGGTCCACCTGAGACATGGGGTCACTGAGAGGACAGGCAGCTCCTCGGGTGGCTAGGGCGGTGGGGAAGGCCTTTTGACACGTTTTCTTAGTTCCTTCCTCACAGCCTGGAAAATGCGGCCGCTGTGCGCCTGCGCCCCTCTCCCTGCCAGCGCCCTTACTCATGCCGTCCCCTTCTTCCTCTCTGTCTCTTGGCCCCTGGAGCTGGTCTGTCCCTTCCTTCCATTCCCAGATACATGCTGAGCCAGCCCTTCCACGAGGGCTTTGCACCCCAGGCCTGGGCCCGGCTGAACGGGAGAGGGTCTCCAGTCCCACAGCTGGAGAGGAGCCTGGGCTGGGTATGAGCAGAAATCGGCAAGGCCACCACCCTGAAAGTCACGTGCAGCAGGCACCCCCAGGAGGTCTGTGAGAGCTCCTGGCCCAGCCTTTGCTGGGTGCAGACAGGGATGTGGGGATGGCCCGGAGTGGGAGGGTGCACAGGGCAGGGCGAGGAGCCCAGCTAACCAGGGGGCTTAGAAAGGAGAGGGCAGAGGCCCACTCAGGGTCAACAGGCGGGCTGCATGCAACTGTGTCCACTGCCCAAGAGCCAGCCACACCACCAAGAAATCCATCTAGGCAGGGGCTCTCGAACCCCCAAAGGGGCACCGCACCACTTGAGACACGCCTCTGCCTCCTGAAAGCGGTGCCCATCAGACACCACCATGCTGGGTGGTGTCTCCCTGCAGCCTCCCGGATGACTGGAAACCCAGCTGCTGCCCCTACAGAAGTATTGACGGGTTTGCATGATCTCCCAGCGCTGGGATGCACTTACCACCCCACCCCCAAAATACTCTGAGCTAAGTGAGGGCCTGGCTGTTATTCCCAGGAGCACGAGCCACGGTTAGCAAAGTGAGACCCGACCCTCCAGCTACACCTGCTCCCAGGCGAGGTGCCAGAGCCACACGCCCAGCCCACCCAACTCCTCCAGCCGGAGGCACAGCCGCGGGTTCCAGAGGATGCCCACTGCCCCTTTGACAGCTGCGGAATGGCAGGGCTCAGGGCCGTGCAGCTCAGGGACAAGGTCGACAGTTTGACGCTGGGAAAAGTTAGAAGATAAAGTCTCTCAGTCACAGTAGCAAAGAGTTACAGGTAACGACAGGAACAGCGTGTCCTAAACATAGCAAAATGTAGGAGACCCCTAGACAGGTAAGATCTTGACTTCGCTCTCAATTAATCTGAAAATGTAATTCCTACCCAAATCCCAGCGGGTTTATTTTTGACCTTGACAAGACATATTCAAAAGTCCACGTGGAAAAATAAACACAGGGGAGGAGCCGGCATTTGCGGCACAGCGTGGAAGAGGAGGAGGGCGGGCGTCCCCGGAACACGCGGCCTCACGGTCAGCACAGCCTGCAGGGCACGGTGCGGGAGGCCCAGAGAGGCCTGCGTATGGCCACGTGCCCCAAAGGCTGTCCACAAGCAGCTCCAGACCAGGAGCCCACCGATTTAAAAATGCTGAATTCCAGCCGTGCGCGGTGGCTCATGCCTATCAGCCCAGCACTGTGGGAGGCGGCGGCAGGCAGATCTCTTGAGGTCAGGAGTTTGAGACCAGCCTGGCCAACAGAGCAAAACACTGTCTCTACTAAAAATACAAAAAAGAAAAAAAATTATCTGGGCATGGTGGCACAAGCCTGTAGTCCTGGCTGCTCAGGAGGCTGAGGCAGGAGAATCACTTGAACCTGGGAGGCGGAGGTTGCAGTGAGCCGAGATCACGCCACTGCACTTTAGCTGGGTGACAGGGTGAGACTCTGACTCAAAAAAACAGGGGCTGAATTCCAGACGGACTCCATCTTCCCTCAGAACAGAATGTTTCTTGCCCTGATGGTGAATGAGGCAGCGCTCACCATGAAACAAAGGCCCACGGGAAACCAAGTCCCCACTGGGTGTGGGAGCGGCCTTTAAGCATGTACCAGGGCCCGGGGCCGGTGCCCACCCAGAGCACTGGACCAGTGGGGTGGGGCCGGAGTGGAGGAGTGCCACAGGACAGAGGGGCACCCATGGTGCAGGGCCGGGTGGCACCATACTCTGCGCTGTTGGCAAATAGCACCTGAAGGGGGCTCTCTGTGAACTCCCGTCATCCGCCTAAAAACAGACCCTCCCAGAGGAACTGGTGCCGCAGCCCCTGGCTGGAGAGAAGGGACCTTCCCCCGGGAGAGGGGCCAGGATCCACCCCCGCCCCAGGCTCCGTCACAAACCCTTACAGACCCCGTTGCTTCTTCGAGGGCTCCACAGTCTCCCCTAAAGGCTGCCTGCCCCCCATGAGGCCCACCGCCCCCCCCCCTTTTCCTACCTAGCCTCCCATCAGCCCTCAGGGCCACCACTGTTTTGGGTATTTTCTTTTTTCCCCAGGACCCCCCGTACACATAACTATGATAATAAATCTGTCTGCTTTTCCTCCTGCCGTGAGCCTCCTGTCAACACGTTTCACGCACCCGGCTCTCAGCCTCGGAGGGCAGCAGGAGGGGCAGCTCCTCCACGGAGCCTTTGGTTCAGGAAACCTTGGCCCAGAGGACAGGAAAACGCTGAACCCCACCCAGGGAACCACAGACCCGGAAAGGTCTAGGGCTTTGAGGAGTTCGGGTCCAGAGATGGAGCCCGCCTGACAGGCAGGAGGGGAAGGGGCCCGGCATGGGCTTGGGGTGGGTTCATGCCCGGCCCACCCTGCACGGGTGTGTGCCCTGCAGCCAAGCCTGGTCCCAGAGAGACGCTGAGGCAGCGACATCCAAGCAAACCACCCACCAGCTCACGGACGGATGTGGGAAGGGGGCTGCCCTGTGACCCGTGGTCCCTGTGATCACGGCCCTCAGCCTGAGGTGACCACAGCCTGAGGCTGGAAATCAATGTCCTGGGCTCTGAACAAGCATCGTGAGGCAGTGCTGGGGGCAGTGAGCTTCTCAGACACCGCGGCCTTGGTAACCCCGGCTGGAAGCTGAGAAGGCACCAGGCTTCTAATCACACTGAGCAGCCTGGGGGCAGGCAGGGAGGAGGGTGTGCTGGACGAATGTCCTCGCCAGGGGGTGGGGAGGGTAGACGAATGTCTACGCTGGGGCAGAAGGCGGGCTGGACAGATGTCCGTGCCAGTGAGGAGCGGATCTTCTCCAGGCCTAGATTCTTTCCACCTATGTGGTTAGTCCTGGGATAACCGTGGACCCCACTTGCTGGCATCAGCTGGACGGAAATGGGGAGCGCCATGTACTTCACACCCCAGAACTGCCCTTCAAAACAGTGAAAACAGTGAATTTTTTGTGTTATTCACTCTAATTTTTTAAAAATTGAAAGCAAAAAACAAAAACGAAAGCCAGGTCTAGATAATCCATTCCCAGGAGCAGCAGCCCCAAGGGTGGCACCGTGGCCCCAAGGGTGGAGTCATGGCCCCGAGGGTGGCACCGTGGCCCTGGGGCTGGAGCTGTGGCTTGGGGTTGGAGTCGTGGCCCCGAGGGTGGAGTCGTGGCCCTGAGTGTGGAGCAGCTGCACCACGGCCATTTGGCAGGATCGGACGGGCCCGGTCAGACTCTGAACACTGCACTACTCCCGAACGGGTGGGCTCCGGTGTGCTGCCAAGGGTCCCACTCCTCGACCCAGAGCCATTTTCACACTGGTGGATGTGGGCGCAGCTGATCCTGTCCTGCCACCTCCTGCAGGGACAGGGGGACGGCTGGGCCTCCACTCTGCTGCTGCAGCCCCTCTGAACTGAGGCCATGTGTGAGCAGACGCAGCTGCCCCCCAGCCACACACAGAGCTGCCCTTCTCAGCGTCCTTCCCACCATGGGGTCATGGCCTTGGCAGTGAAGATCTGGAAGGACCCCTCCAGGTCAGTCACTGGCCTCATCCTCCCTTGGTGCCAGACACCCATCAGCAAGCGCCGCACAGAGCCCTGCAGGCCTGATGAGGAGGCCTAACGGGGAGCAGGAAGGACCCCTCCAGGTTCATGACTACCCCACATCTGAGCACAGTGGCTGCCTCCTGCTCCCTGCACTCCACAGCAGCCCATTTCTGGGCCAGCTGGCTTTTCCAAGGCTCTTAAGAACCAGTCCAAAGAATGGAACCCTGGGGGGTCTGCAGAAGGAGACAGGGCTGAGGCTGCCCACCTGTGCTCATCCCTAGGCAGGGGTGCAGGGTCAGCAGGGGCGGGGCGCAGTGGGGAGACACCGGGGGCTCAGGAAACAGCACCTGTTCCTGCCAGCTTCGCCCCCAGGGCAGTTCTCTGCCCCTTAGATGCCCTCAGCCTGGCCCTCTCCAGACATGCTGGCCCAGCTCAGGCTTCCCAGCCTCCCTCCTTGAACCTGTTCTGGGTGCCTGGTGACTCCCAGGGTCTCCCTGTCTAAGCCACCTCTCCTGAACCCGGTCGCAGCTGCCGTCCTCCGCTGCCAGAGTGGAGCAGTCCCTGCAAACCCCATCCTGCCTGCCCCTCGTGTATCCCCGGGGGCCTGAGGAACAGAACTTGGGCTCAGCTGGGAGGACAGGAGGCCTAAGTCTGTCCCCACAGGCCTGAGTGTCTCTGATGAACTCTGCCAGGTTCAGCACCTTACCTCAACCGTCAAGTGGCCTCACCAGCAACAAAATGGTGCAGGTCCACGGGGGACCTGCAGGCACTAAAAACACTCTCTCCTGGGTGCACGGGAGCCTTCTCAACGCACTGCACAAAGAGGCGCATTTGCTGTGACTTTTCACCACCCCAAACCCGAGTAACCCAGCGGAGCCGTCGTTTGCAATACAACGAAATGGAGCTAATCAATCACATTCAAGCACCCTCCGTGTTATGCTCCGGTAGCATGGCAATAGCTTTAAAAAGGGCTTATGGGGCTTAAATAGACACAGTGTCCAGGCAGCTGTATGGCGAGGCGCAGGAGGGAGGCAGGGCGCGTCTGCTAAGCCTCCCGGGACAGCTGAAAAGACCGTCCATTCAGAACGGATTCATCCCCAGCACAGCCGCGCGCAGAAGCCGGAGGGCAAATTCCAACTTTTCCAAGTGCTTGTTAAGCTTCTTTGAGTTATAATTACCCCCAATCTCTAGATATTACAAGGCGGCAATCAGGAAGTTAGATCTGGCCAAGAGAAAACAAAGGGAGAGTGAGGGAACAGGCTCCGTCCAGGCCAGCAAGCAGGACAATCTGGAGGACGGGAGCAGGATGTTCTCTGGACGGGGCTGGAGACGGGCGTGGGGATGAGGACAGGGACCTGCTGAGGATGCAGGCTCAGCTCTCCCGGATGGGGCTGGAGATGGGATGGGGACGAGGACAGGGACCCGCTGAGGATGCAGGCTCAGCTC